TGTTGTTTTTTTTAAAAAAATAAAGATGTCAACTCTTTATTGCATATGAACCCCTGTTACTTTCTGTGCAGAGTTTACAACGAGTCATATTAAGCCTGCCTAAAAGTGAGTACCAGGCTCACATAGTATATAACAAAGATGACAACCTTAGGAAAAATGTCCAAATGCCTGGCACTCACTTTTAGCCACTATCTATTCAAAAATAAATCCCATTGAGTTCATGGAGTTCACACACTCCTACTTTGCCAGAGGAGGCAAAGTTCCCTTGTCTGATCTGGATGTCTCTTGATTTCATGACTTATTAAAATGCACACTTGCTAGCACTGGAGAAGAATAAGCTATAAATGAAGAGTGGCTGTGGTGACTGATTCTGCATCCTATGTATACTTACTTAGGAGTAAACTCCATGAACTCAATTTGATTTATTTTTTAATAGATGGGCATAGGGTCACACTATTACTCATGTAAGTTATGCTGCCATAGTTTTAAGTACAGGTAAGATTTTATGCTTATCATAGAGTATGTACAAGAAAGAGTCACAAATAACTGCCCAGCCCAGGGGTATCTTGTTTCTCTGTGATAAAGGGCACCATTTTGGTGTGGGATTTGATTATGTATGGCAAATTCAGGCTGTACAATTATAGTTGTTGTTTTTTAATATTTTATTAAGGATTTTCTTGTTTTACAGAAGTAAGTGTAATGCCTCGTATTTTTTCCCCCCATGTAACATTTTTACAAATCCGTTTCATTTGTTGAGGCACAATTATAGTTGATTGGGAGGTCTTGCACAACAATCTCACTTTCCCAAACATTCGACCTTTGCAGTAAGGAAAGTGAAGGGGGAAATGAATTGGTTTGATGTAATGTCATGTAACCTCCACACAAACAAATGTTAATGAATGCTTATTAACTAGCCAGGGTTGCCTAATCTCTCTCCAAACAAATCTGGATGAATGCTCAATATACAAGTCATCTAGAAGCGCCCAAAGACAGCAATAGGAGACAGAATGTGCAGTGCTGAGAACACACTGGTTCATAGGACTATGGTAACATGGAATCTCCAGATTTTTCAAATTAAAGAACTACTCAGAGCTATTGTGAAAACTAAAAATGGCTTTTTAATTTTTTTTAAAAAATGCAGTATCTATTACATGGTATTAAATGCAGCATCCTGGTCTGCAGGCTCTTTGCACTGGTGGAGGAACAGGGGGTGAGGGGAGTGCACCATCGGGGAGGGGGGTTCCATTGTGGCTGCCCTCCCGGTCACGCGCTGTGCACCCCCCCTCGTGCTGGGCACCATGCCCCCGCAGGTGACGTGCCACCCCCCCCGCCTGCTCTCTGCCCCCGGTGCTGGAGCATGCAGCTTCGTCACTGGCTCTTTCGTTCAAGGCGGCACAGGCAACTGGCTGCTACTTTATTTTTACGACTCCTCATGGCTGCATGCGCATTTACCTAATGTTCTACTAGTGATGGAGGAGAAATTCAATTTGGTTTTCATTTTATGTAAACCTGCACTTTCTGAAACAGGAACAGAAATGCATCTCTCCTTTGAAATCCACACTTTTTCCAATGCAGTTTCCAAATTTAAACATGTGTGGAAAAATGCATCTATTAGGAGAAAATCTGCATAAAAATGCACTCTTAGTGATTATAACACAGAGTGGATCACGCCTATACAATGCACTTCAGTTCCACCGACTGATGATTGAAATACATGTGACATGATTGTAATCAAAATTCAAGGATTCATCCTTGAAAATGAGTATTTGGTGTGCAAATTTTAAAAATGGCCATTTCACCAATATATTAAATAATGTCCCATAAAAGCAGATTATTTGTTTTTATTAGTCCATTTAAACATGAATAACAGATGTCAGTTGCAATATATGATGTGATAGAATTGTTCCGCATCTGCCTAATGTGTATGGCAGATCCATTCCTTGATCCTGACCTAGATTCCAGAATGCTCATGGCTAAGCATAGATGAATCCATCCCAGGATTTACAGGAGGCCGACAGGGGGAAAGCGAATTCTGGAAGGAAGAGCTTGAGTCTGCCTGTAGCTTTAAGTAAGGAAGGAGCAGCAAAATAAACCAGTTATCAAATAAGCATAATCTGAGTTCGGGTTTTTAGTCCTAAGAATACCATGTCTCTGAACACAACACCAGCAACAAATGGGGATACTGAGGAAGAAAACAAACCAGAAAGAGGGAAAACAAGAACAAAAAATGAGAGGGTTTTTGTTGCTGAAGGAATGATTTTATTAGCTGGAAATTTAGATGGTTCTTCCTTAGCAAGGTATAGCAGTTACCTCAGTGACATTGGAATTGATTCTTGATAATGCCATGCTCCACCAATGAAACTATTGAACTAACCAACCAATCAGAGCTTGAGCACAACAGCTCAGCACTGGAGGTAGAACATAGACATCTTGGCTAGAAGCCACTGATAGCCTGATCCTCCATGAACTTGTCAAATCCTTTTTCAAAGCCACCCATGTTGGTGGTTGCCACTGCCTCTTGTGGGAGCAAATTCCAAAGTTTTAACTACGTGTGAAGAAGTACTTCCCTTTGCCGGACCTGCATCTTCCAGCTTTCAGTTTCATTGGATGTCTCCAAGTTTAGTATTAGGAGAGAGGAAGGAAAGCTTTTCTTTCTGCACTTTCTCCCCACCATGCATAATTTTTGCACCACTTGTGAGACAGTTTCCAAATGTTTAGAAAAGGATACTGGTTCTCTGGATACAGGGAGAATGTGAAGCTTCTCTCAGCCCTATCATTTGCTCACCTTCTCCAATGACTTCTGCTCCACCTGTTTGAGAAGGTTGTCTTTCAGCAGATCTGTTGCAAAATAAATATTGCTGTGTTGAGTTACAGAGAGATTATAGCTTTGCGCTTCTTATTACTTCCCTCTTTTGGATATAACAGGGAAGGAAAGATAGGTATTGCAGTATATGCAATATGTCACTCATCAGTTGTGCAATGCAAGAGAGATAAGCAGCAGAGTCTGAAATAAATGCTCTCTGCTGAGCAAGCTCCAATGCAAGTTCATGGGCCAATCTGATTAGCATCTACCTATGTCTGGTTTGTATCAATAAACTGGCGGAGATTTCAAGAACTCTGTGGCACTTGAATGCTGAAGGGTCACAACTGCAGCAAAGTAAAAATGTAACAGACAATGTTTTTAGGTTTGTTTGTAGCAAGTGATGACACAATGACAATGTAGCCTAGAACTTTGTTGGTCTTGACCAACAAACCGACTAAAGAATTGGTTGCTTCAAATAATGCTTTATTTATGTAGGATCTTACTACTCCTTACACTGAATGTTTTGGACTAAGTTATATAACACTGTGAGAAAATCCACTAATGGGTATAAATAGTACATCATTAAAATATAATACAACTATCACCCATGATGTAACCCTTGCAAATGAAAACTGGTAAAGAATATATTTTTTAACAAGGGCAGAAAATCATTTCCCCATGTTTATTGACCAAGTTTCCATTCTGTTTATTGCTTTTGTCACCCAAAAGACAGAGAAATGCTTTCATGCATGCAATTCCGTGGTGACTTTTTAAAGTTAAGTTTATGGTATTGACAATTGTGTTCATTGGGTAGAATTAAGTTTATGTTTTCTTTTCAACAAGCTGAAGTTGATACTCTGCTTCATAAATCAACCTTACTTATATTAAAAGTACATTTAATTGGGTCATTTTAAAATTAAAGCCTCTACCATTCTGAATATTCAAAACATCTTTAATGTGTCCTGGTGGGTGGGTGGATTGCATGGATGGTAGGTAAGGCTTAAATTAATATGAGAAGTTGGTTCTCCTAGTCCTGCTTGTGAATGAAATGAATCACCACAATGCATCTCCGAGTGAAGTAAGCATGTGGGTTTTCCCAAGCTGTCTCAGGACCCATGACAATCCTTTCCTGAAAACATGGTTAAAATTGTTGATGTGCTAAACTTTAAGACATGAGTACTTATCACACCCAGGGAATGTTATTAGCAAGTGAGAGCCCATGGAATGTAGATGATTGGGTGACATTCATCTTGTGCTAAATGAGTTGTCCAATGCTGTGTAAGAGCTGTAATGATGTATGAATTAAACATAAACACTTGGTTCACAAGGGGGTCATATGGGAGAAGAAGAGATATATAGACAAGTTCTGATTCCAACACACTTATAAGCAAGGCTTAAATTTGACCTCCTCGAGACGGTCTTTGGAACTTGGCTTCCCCAGGGTCCTGGAAATAGATTTCAGCCGTATTCCAGACCTGCAGGGAACTGGAAGCTGCTGCATGTAAGGTTATTGTGACACTAAATCAACATGTCACTGGGTCCACCCCCAAATGGCCCAGTAACTCAGGTCAAGTTCAGGAATTTGTTCCAGAAACACAGGAATATCAAGTGACAGGAAGTCTGCTGGGATTAAATATAGCCGGTTTCTACAGTCACCCTGAGAAGGGAGAGAGGCAGGCAAGGCCATGCAAGGCTGCCAGCAACCAGTGTGGTGATGGTTTCTGTCGTAAGCTCAGTATGCTCAGGGCAGTAGACTTTACTGAAATAAGTGGAATGACAGGAGTCATGGAGTGCTGGTGGCTTGTGATGTTCGTGCGCACACATGGAAGTATAGCGCTCCATTAATGCAAGTTCCTTTGTAACTTTTGCAAACCATCCACAGCGAGCAAGCAAATAAAGTATGCAAGGCTGAATCCAAAGCAGCAGAGTGACCCTTCTGTTTCCTCTCCTCCTGCTGCTATGTGCCCCCAAAATATCTGGAGGGTCCCCCAATTCTCCACAGCTGATTCTGAAGGTATGCAAGGAACTGAAGAGAGGGATGGGGGGGGATCTCTGTTCTGCTGGCAGAACAGGAGCTTTGGCTACTGACCACATACATAAGAAATTACTGGCATGTGAATCAATCAATTAAGAACATGTGCAGTGCCTGGTCTTAGATCCAAAGAACTGTGAGAAGGGGACTAGCTGCTGGCGTTGAAGGGTTGTAGCTTAGTGGTTAGAACATCTGCTTTGCATTCACAAGGTCCTAGGTTCAATCCCTAGCATTTCCAGGCAGGGCCTGGGTCTGAAAGCCCAGAACAGCTGCCAGTCAGTGTAAACAAGACTGATGGATCTGTGGTCTGGCTCAGTGTAAAGCAACCTCCAGTGCTCAGAGTTCATGACCTGCTGGAGTAGTTGGGATCTACAGTGGTGCCTCGCAAGACGAAATTAATTCGTTCCGCGAGTTTTTTCGTCTAGCAAATTTTTCGTCTTGTGAAGCACGAAATCCCATAGGAATGCATTGAAATTCAATTAATGCGTTCCTATGGTCAAAAAAAGTCCAAACAAAGCCAAATTTGGTACAACAAGAGTTTATTAAGTGCTCTTTAAAGTCACACATACTGTAAAGAGCATTTCAAAATTTGAAGGAACAATAAATTAAGTTTCTAAACATGACAGAAAAACATTTAAAAATCAACAAAGTGTACAGTACATTTTCTAAGACTCTGGGGGACCACTCGAAGAAGGTTCCTCTTCCACTCTTTGCTTCTTGCTGAAGAACCTGTCCATGGTCTGCTGCTTCATCCGCCTTTTCAGCACCTCCCTGAAAGGCGACATGACCGTCGTATCAAAAGTGTTCGCAAGGTCATGTGCCACGTGCTTGTTAGGGTGGTGCCGCTGTGCAAAAGCCTGCACATCCTTCCACTTCATGCAAATGTCCCTCAGTTCTTTGGAGGACAGCCGTTCCTCAGTTGCTTCCTCCTCTTCCAGCGAGGCCTGCTCCTGCGCAGCCTCTGCCTGCAGTTCGACCAGCTCCTGGGTGGTCAGCTCGTGGTCGTGCTCCTCCACCAGCTCGCTGATGTCCTCCTCTGTGACCTCCAGGCCCATGGTCCTCCCCAAGGCAACAATGTCCTGCACCACTGTTGACTCTGGTGCATCAGAGTCACTTGGTGCCACACAGTCCGGCCACAGGCTGCACCAAGTGCAATTCAAATTTCTCTGGCTGATCTCGTTCCAGGCCGTGGTGATCATCTTCAAGCAGGTGACGATGTCGAAGTGGTCCTTCCAGAATTCCCGCAGGGTGATGGTGGTGCAATCAGTCACCTCGAAGCATCGCCTGAAAAGCTCCTTGGTGTAGAGTTTTTTGAAATTGGCGATGACCTGATGATCCATCGGCTGGAGCAGTGGTGTGGTGTTAGGCGGCAGGAACATGATGCTGATGAAGCTGAACTCCTCCAACAAGTCCAACTCGAGGCCTTTAGGATGAGCAGGAGCATTGTCCATCAGAAGCAAAGCCTTCAGCGGCAGGTCGTTGTCCAGCAGGTACTGTTTGACAGCAGGGCCAAAAGCAAGATTGACCCAGTCCACAAACAGCACACGTGTGACCCAAGCCTTACTGTTGGATCGCCACATGACACTCAGCTGCTCCTTGTCGACCTTGTGTTTCTTGAAGGCCCGTGGGTTCTCCGAGTGGTACACCAGCAGGGGCTTGATCTTCAGGTCGCCGCTTGCGTTGGCACAGAAGAGCAGGGTCAGACGGTCCTTCATGGGCTTGTGGCCAGGCAACTTGGCCTCCTCCTGAGTGATGAAAGTCCTTTTGGGCATCCTCTTCCAAAACAGCCCAGTCTCGTCGCAGTTGAAGACCTGCTGTGGAACGTAGCCCTCTGTCTTCACAGCCTCCAGGAACTCCAATGCAAAGTCTTCAGCCGCAGGAACATCAGAACTGGCAGCCTCTCCATGCCTGACCACGCTGTGGATTCCAGATCTTGCCTTGAACCGGTCAAACCAACCTCTGCTTGCCTTGAAGACTTCTGGCTCGCCTGAGGTTCCTGGCTGTTCCCGGACGAGGTCTGCGTGCAAGGCCTTGGCCTTCTCACAAATGACGGCCTCAGTCACTGTGTCCCCTGCACGCTGCTTCTCTTCTAACCAGATGAGCAGCAACTTCTCGACCTCCTCCAGAACAGCTGGGTGGTTCTTTACGATCCTGGTGACTCCCTTGGCTGCATCAGTCGCAAGGATCTTCTCCCTCATCTTCAGGATGGTCCCGATGGTCGATGAATTCCTCCCGTACTCCCTGGTGAGGTCTGTCACACGCATTCCACCGTCGTGCTTCCGGATGATCTTCTTCTTCATTTCCAGCATCACCTTCTCCTTCTTCCTCTCGCTGGCCTCTGCAGCAGCAGTCTTCTTGGGTCCCATGGCAGCACAGCTCCTAGCTTCGCAAACTCAGGGGAAAAAAAAGAATCAGTGCTTCACATCCAAAAAATTCAAAAGCACCCAGCCACCCACCACACAGAAATTCAAACCCAGAACCAAGTCCTTGAATTCCAAACACCCAACCCAAAATCCAAAAACCTCCAAAAAAGTTTTAAAAGTTTAACTTACCAAATGGCTGCAAAAGAAGTTTTGGAAAAGCTTCAAAAATCGCCAAAGTCTTCTAAAACCTCAAATGGCTGCAAAAGAAGTTTTGGAAAAGCTTCAAAAATCGCCAAAGTCTTCAAAAACCTCAAAAAAGGCTACCACACCACGTGCTATGAGTTGCTCCTCGAAGTCAAGTCGCAACTGCACCTCTTCAAGCAATGCACCTTGGGTTTTAACGGTTTTTCTGATATGGAAACAAACTTGCAAGACGTTTTCGTCTTGCGAAGCAAGCCCATAGGGAAATTCGTCTTGCGAAGCAGTTCAAAAAACGAAAAACCCTTTCGTCTAGCGAGTTTTTCGTCTTGCGAGGCATTCGTCTTGCGGGGCACCACTGTATATAAGTTCTCTCCTCCTGCTCTTGCACAAGCGGAAGAATGTGACTCGATTTGGTTTCATTCCATTCTAACCCTGTGTGAGCGGAAGGTATCTTTTGTAGATGGAAAATCACCAAAAAGGCAAAGTTAAGGTTTTGGGTGCCAAAGCCTTTTGTCATCGTCAGACATATTCCTCATAGACTATATTTTTGCCAGTAGAAGGAGGCTGGATTTGAACTTCTGGGGTGTGAGAGCTGCGAATTTTGACAAACCTTTACACTGCCCCATTTGCTTTAGTGAATTATGAGCCTTTTCCAAGCCTATCATAACTGTTTATACTAAACGAAAAGACCCGCTATCAAAAAGGGGAAAATCCTTGATACAGAATCACAAAGGGTTAATGTATACATGGCATTTTTATCAAGGCAATTTGAATAAAAAAGGCACAGACGCCCGCCCCCCTTTTTTTGCCAGAACAGATCAATTCTCATTTATTAAGTGATTTGAGATGATTGGCTTCTAATCCTACCTGCCCTATTTGAAATATGTTTTGATAATGGTATAGTGGCTAGAACGTTAGGTTTAGATGTAGGAAAGATCAAAAGCACCACTTGACTATAAAGCTTATTGATGAGCCTTGGGCGAACCATCTTCTTGCAGACCAGCTTACCATGTTAGGGTCATTTTGAGAATAGATTGAAGACACACTGAGATCCCTGGAAGATGGGCAAGAAACAAATGTGATAGATAAATAAAGAAGTTAGCCTAGCTGCTGGCAGCACCAATGGAAAAACTGGTGGACAAGTTTATTGCTATATATAGCTAGTGTCCACCATCCAGGTATCAGAGGTTGAGTATATTAGCTGGTTTCTGCATGGAAAATAAAAATACCAACAAAAAGTGAACTGCAAAGTTCCTTTGCTTCATGGCTGACCTATCAACTGCTTTACCAGGGACATAATTTAATGAATTCTTTTAAACTAATGGGCCTTAAGAGATCTTAATCAGTTATAAATTAATTAGAATTTATTTATTTATTTATTTATTTATTTATTTCTCCAAGGGTCATAAAAATACATTGTGTCAGGAGCTCATCATATGTATTCTTGATATCCTTTAGGATAACAACAAGCATTAAGATGGCTGCGATCTTCATAGCTTTCACAATAATGTGAAATAGCAAAGTAATGAGTCAATTTGGCAATTCATTAATGATTAGGACTTTGTTTCTTGCTGGAATGAGCCTATAGGGTTAGAATAATTTATTGAATATTAGTGGCTAAAAGTATAAAACTCACCCTGTAACATTCGGTGAAGACAGTGCCATTGATTTCCAACTGAGTTAGCACTGTGCTTTGCTAACTGCTGTGATTCAGAACCTATTGGCCTATTTGTGCTTAAGGTATTTTAGTCCTAAAGACTGTAATGCTATTAAAGAAGCTTAAGTGCACCATCTTAGGTGACATGATGGTTGCAGGTCTAATGTTCTAATTTCAACCTGCTGTTTAACTTGTCACTTTTAAATCTGCACTTCATTGCCTTAGTGAACGTTCTGCTGACGGGAATGCTCAGAAAATGTTAAGGCAGTCTGTTCATACCCACAAAGGCATTTTGTATTCAAGGATTCACTGTGTTTTTAATTGTTTCACCATCATCCACATTGGGAAAAGGTTTAGGCATCAGGGTGCATAGCACAAGCAATGCCACCTGGCTGGAGATGCTGTTCCCGTGATCCAAGTATTAGAAACTGAGCAACATGAATGGCTTTCCCTTCTACACCCCACCCCACTTTTAGTGGAATAGTTAAACGGTGTGGGCAGATTTTAACAAGCGGTGAATTCACAAGAACTACTTGATATTCCTATGAGCGTCAGAGTGCTGTGGCTCACAGATAATGTGCAGTAACTGCAACATGCAAAAACAAGCATTTTTTGTATGCCGATTCAAAAATTATTTTGATCATTTGCAAATGTATGCAGCATCAAGTGGCTAACCTGCCCCAGCCTCTTGAATGTGGGAATTTCATTGTTGCTGTTGTTGTTACCCCACCCATCTGATTGGCTTGCCCCAGTCACTCTGGGTAGCTTCAAAGAGAATATAAAAACACAGTGGAACATAAGACATTAAAAACTTCCCTAGACAAGACTGCCTTCAGATGTCTAAGCGAACTTCTCAGGTTTCTCTTTTGGTGCAAAGCTAGAAATTTATCTCAAAAAGCAGGCATATAACATGAGAATTGTCCAGCTGGATCAAACCACAGACAACCCTCTGCTGTCATCAATGTCCATCCTGATGTTCGGGAAGTGTACAAGTTTATCAATCTCTGGTTATTCAAT